AAGGAAAAAACCCCTTAATATTCCTTCTCGCAAAACTGTCTACCCCACTCCCATTCAATTTCCACGCGCGCGAGGCATGGGGCCTTGTCATATTTCTAAAAAGGGAATTTTTTTTTTTTTGAGTTAATAGTGTAAATCAACTTTAAATTTTTTTTAAGGACATATTTAAAAATCTAAAGAAGTATATAAGATTTTAAATTTATATTAAATTTATAATTAAGATCTCAAAGTTTTGTTATACTCAATTAAAATTTTAAAGTTATCAAAATTTTTAAATAAAATCTCAATTAGATGGAAACTGGTAGGATCATCTAATCATTTTAACAAAGTTAAATTTAATTGGTTAAATAATAAAAATAATTGTTAGACTTTTAATTTTAGTTTTTAATAACCCTATAACTATCAATAATCTCCAAAAACTCCTTAAACTAATTTTTTTCTATTGATGTGGAAATTTTTGTGGGACCTATAATTAAAAATGAACTTTAATTATCTGAAATAATTTATTAATTATCCTTTAAATGATTCTTTAAAAAGTAAATTAATCATTAACAAAATTTTTGAGTGTTTTTAGCATAACAAATTTTTTGAGTAACTCTCACATATTTGCATAATAAATCCATTCATGAAAAAAATAACAAAAAATTGAGACCCACTCACATGCCATATCAATTTTTAGTTGTGGGTCTCATAAAAATTTCTTTATAAATTAAATAATAAGTTTAAGAGTTTTTTTTGAAAATTTTAGGTTTTTTGAAAGAGCTAAAATTAAAAGTTTAGGAACTATTTTTTTGTTATTTAACTAGTTAGATTTAACAGTGTTAATAATTGATTTAGCAAGCCTAACGGTTTCCATCCAATTGGAATCTTATTGGAAAATTTTGATAACTTTAAGGCTTTAATTGAGGGTAATAAAACTTTAAGACTTTAAATGCAAATTTGATGTAAGTTCAAATCCATATGTATTACTTTAGCCTATTTAAAAACTTATATTTTAATTAATATTTTTAAAAACTAATAATTGAATTAATTTTTTTTATATAAATCATATATATCAATTTTTATATTAATTTAACACATATAAAATTTTTATTAAAGAAACTTTATTTAGTATTATAATTAATAAACTAGTTAGGCCATTAAACTTATTAAATCAATTTAAAAATTGACTGTTCTTTATATTAATTTAACACATATAAAATTTTTATTAAAGAAACTTTATCTAGTAATATAAATTTAGTAATATCAAATTTTTTATAATTAATAAACTAGTTAGGCCATTAAACTTATTAAATCAATTTAAAAATTGACTGTTCAT